GGGGGGGCAATACAGGCATATAGAAACAATAAAGGGAAAGAAAAAAAGAAAAAGCAAGATAGACATACAAATAATAAAGGGAAGAAAAAAACAAAAAAAACTCAGATGACTTATATGAGTGTCATTTCATTATGCCCTGCCTCTGTGCCACTGTGGATTTCATAAGCGAACCAGGCACAATGCACAGAACCACAACAAAGGGTAGAAAGACAGCAAGAACCAGCAAAAACGAAGTCTTGGAGTTTACGTCTTACAATCTGTGTCACATCATGCCTGAACTCATACTCTCGATTTTGTTGTCCCTTACAGTCATTTTAACTTTACGAATGTTCCATACTTGCTCATGCTAACATAAATCTAAAAATTCTGGCTTGTTTAGAGCTTCTCTTCTTGTGAATCTCACGAAACGCCTTAAATTGACGGACAAAGCCCTAAGGGCGAAAAAAAATAGAGAACGACGAAATTAAAGCGGCTGAAAATCAACTCGGACAGGCGCCAGTAGGTGTCTGCTTGACTCCACACAGAGGACGCCTAAGGCCTAGATCTAGATATAAGAAAAAAATTACACCACAACACAGCTGGTATTCATGAAGCATTTATTTGGGGATTAAAAAAACTAGAAATTCCTAAAATATTGCTTAAAATGTAATTCTGCTCAGTTACCACCCTAGTTTGACGACGGTAATTCGTAATTAGTTTTTGTCTACCGTGAAGCACCAGCTCTGAAATGGCTATTTAAAATTGTCCCCAGTCCAGTCGGATGACGTCAGCCAAACCGCTCAACCCGTGTTGGCAACGGCGAGACGCATGAGTTTGCGACCTCGATGCTTTCTTGTCGCATCTCCATTTTTAATCATGGTGAAAGCAGTTCACAACAAAGAGTGAGCTTAAGAAGAAGTCACATTTTCGCTGTTAATAAATGGAGATATGATAAGAAAGCAATGAGGTCGCGAGTTGACAACGAGACGCCTTTCCCAGCTTTTCAGCGTAATAAGAATGTAGTTTGGATTCCGATAAAGCCGACAACGCTGACCCGGACTTAAAGCCGCCTGCAGTCTGCCAGCTCTATGGGGGGCAAGTTGGAAATCATAAGGGAATTTTTATACCTATCGGCGCTTACTGAGTCAGTCTCCGAAACCGGTGTTTTCTTGGTTTTCGCCCTAACACTGCATGTGTTACAATGACTCCCAAACCTTACTGTGTGAGCCAAAAGCGTTCTGAGGATGACTACACTTGAAAAAACTCAAGTTTGTCAATATTTATTGTGAGTTAAAAAAAAAATGAATTTACAGACCTAATTTTTAATAAAATCTGATAGAGATAGCTAAGGATAAACAAATGTATGAGTCGCGGCAATGTCCAACCCTAAAAAAACAAACATTCTCAATATTAAATTAATTAACTAATACAAGGCTCAACATCACTGGTCACTATAACTGCAGGTTGTGTACTGGAGCTTTAAATAACTTCCATTTTCAAAGAATTGGGGTAGGGCTACATAATTTTGACCATCTGAATATTCTGATCAAGTGATTACCTGATTACCAGAAACATACTTCAGTACTTAACATTAACAATTAGTGTTTTGTTATTCAACAATTAGTGTTTTGTTATCATGCATTTACAAATGTTTCTTTCTAATGATTGAAAATGTTTTATGCTCCTAACAACATAATCTCTATCACTTAGGCGGCATTCTACTTCCACCATGCCAATCAAGGCCCACACCGGCACCAAGTGGGGTACAACATCTCATAAGACAGGCAGAGGTAAATAATAAATAAATTCTCAACACAGGAATCAAACTCACGTCTTCCGCTTAGTTTTAGTTACTTTTCGTCAGAGTTGCAATACAACTAGGTCATATATGTGCCAAAGATTGGAGGCGTTACTAGAGAGTAACATACACACAAAGGGAGAAGAGATAAGGACGATAGATGTTTCATGGGAAAGAAGGAGCACCCGCCAACCATCCACATGTCTTCTGAAAGCATCAGCAAAGAGCCAACACAGCAAAGAGGGTGGTGCACTTACACAGGAAAGCATGATACACTTCACTGGAGAAAGGATCTTCTATATTTGGATATAACATGCGCCTTGCATGGCACAGGTGGTTACATAATAGATTTACACCTGGAAACGTGGCTCTCTTGTGTAAAGTGCTGTTGTAAGCTCTGTTTTTTTAGAGGGAGGGGGGTGTAAATGTTTTATGGTGCTCACAACTGCTTAAGGTCATGTGAGCGCGCAGAACACATTCAACATCAGTTTGGTAGGAATTAATTTTGAATTTTGTACGGGTGGCAGCCGAAGCCTTCTTTTATTGATTCTGGACCACCAGGGGATTTTTAATGTGCGCAAATTGCACACAGGACCTCCGAGATTTAATGCCCTTTATCAAGAAGGCTATGTGTTATATCTAACCTACTCTAAGATCAGGGGTGTGGCTGAAAAACAGCAGTAAGAAGGAGCCAAGGAGTAGCAGTAGAAAGGATGCAGAAAGAATCAGGAGCCCTGAGGAGGGGTAAAGGAGGTGGGGGCAGAAAGTGGAGACGAAAGCAGACAACAGAACATGGTTAGTCAGCTCAGAACCAAACAAATCTTTTAGTTAAAGTCGAGAGCAGCACATCAACACAATAACAGTCATATAAAGCAGAGGAAAAAGCAAGATCGATGGACATAAACAACAGGGGAGAAAGAAAATGAAGTAAGACCAATCAGTGGTACCCTCCAACCACCCTCCTTCACATGCTGGAACAACCAAGGGTACACCCACTTTCAAAACAACCTTAGTGTAGTTTTAGTACGATTTTTACGGCACTTGCAACACATTTAGGTCATTTAAGTGTGGAAGATTTGAGGTGTTACAGGAGAGTAACATGCACCAAAAAGAATGAGGAAAGATAAGGACGATAGATGTTTGGTAGAAAAGGAGCAAACCACACCAGAGCACCTGCCAACTACCCACCTAAATAGCCTATCCCCAACTGAGTAGTAAGTACAACTTTTTATGTAAAAGAAAACAAATTAAGTCCACATAAGACAACAATCAAGGAGTAGGTACCGTGCAAGGCGGCTGCATCCAGGGCTCTCCATCTATCTGCATGGGGAATCTCTTCCTTGTTCTGGGAGAGAGAAAGATACCGATAAGGAAGAGAGAGAAGGTGACACGCACGGATAAGTGCATGTCTCGAAACAATCTCAACACTTGTTAACACTCTGCGGTCGAACCATTTTTTTCCCAGTATATTTCCCTACAAATCCTGCGGTATCACTCAATTTTTAAAAAATTCTGACTCACTACTACTAATATACATGTTGTGTAGACAATCACACACACACACACCTACATCAACAAAGACAAGACTATCATCTCATGACAATCTGTCAATGTTGCACTAATCTTTTGCGAGACACACACACACACACACACACACACACACACACACACACACACACACACACACATATTTAGAAAAATACACATCCTCAATCAGAGGCATTTACATACACTCAGCGAAACACACACTCACACAAGCACACAAACACTCACACACACACATGCAAAAACACACACACTCAGACACACACATACATACATTTAGAAACACAAACATACTCAATGAGAGACATTTACATACACTCAGAGAAACACACACTCACACACACACACACTAGGACACAAACACTCACTCAGACACAGAGACACATACATACATACATTTAGAAACATACACATACTCATTCAGACACATTTACATACACTCAGAGACACACGCACTCACACACACACAAGGAGACAAACACACACACAGACACACAACTAACTGACCTGATGACCACCTGCGAGCACTGAGCTAGCCGTTTGCCTGAGGCCCGCAGACCCGCATACACCTGGCCCACATGGAAGATGTTCTCCAGACCTACCACCTCAATCATCGCATCACCCACGTCTGGGGACAGAACACTTTCATGAAAAAATATGTCCCCACAAATACCGCCAAAAAAAAATAAAAATCTTGGCAACCAAAAACATATAAATCCTCAACATCGTCTAAAACCCCTTAAAAAAACAAAACTTTCAGTGCCAAAAGTCAGGTGTTATTAGAGTAACATGCAAAGAAAAGAAGGAGCAATGAGGTAGATACACACTGTTTTCAAATTCAAACAAGAAAAAAACAAAAACGAACTGAGCCCTCTCAAATATCCAACAAAATTAATCAGATGCAGCAATCGCCGCTG